GCAACTTGGCTGAGGTTGACCCTTGCGATTCCCCCAAATGTGGGGAACTCGGGTGTATAATTTATGGTAGCGGGGGACTGCGTTCGCGCTAACCCCTAACACGAATTTAAAGATAGAATTAATATGTAAAAACTTTAGAAATAGTATTGCTGTTTGCTTGAATGAGGTTATGCCAGTATAGAAAAACTTACACCGTTATAAACTTGAAACTATAGGATACGTTTGATTTGTATATTTCGCTATTAATGAGAATTGGCCTATAATTTATATCGAATGTTGGTTTTTTTTTTCGTATTTGTATAAAATATATTCTATAATCAACTTATAACCGTTAAAAAAGTAATTGCTTACTAAATGTAAGAGTTTCTTTGTTGTGGGGAGATTTTCAAGTTTATTATAGTTTTACGTACATCAATATAGCTTTTAGGCGTATTGTAGGCTACTATCTGATGGCAAACAATGACCTCTTTGTTGAAACATATTGATCAGGAATTAGTAAACTAATTTGCATATTAAATATAATCAGGAAACATTTGTAATACAGAATCATTGGTGTTATATTTATACTTGAAAAGATATACGCTTATAAAAACTAACTTTAAAAGATTTAAATACAAAAATTGTACTGTATTATTTAAAAGATTTAAATACAAAAATTGTATTATTTATTATAAGATGATCGTAATGAAAATTTTAAAAGCCAGAAGAAAAGAAGTGTTGAAATGACACCTGTAGGCCACAGTATTTCTAATATTATACTACAGAATATTGTCGATGGCCAAGCATACTTACCTGGCACAGGAGTGACTTTGATCAAGAAGGAATGTCCTCCCAAGGTGAGGCCTCGGCATTGCACTTGGCTGAGGTTGACCCTTGCGATTCCCCCAAATGTGGGGAACTCGGGTGTATAATTTATGGTAGCGGGGGACTGCGTTCGCGCTAACCCCTAACACGAATTGAAAGTTAGAATTAATATGCAATGTGCTATCATATTCTATGATCAACTTTATGTGAGAGTTTCTTTGGGGTGGAGGAGATTTTCAAGTTTATTATAGTTTTACATATTAATATAGCCCTTAGGCGTATTGTAGGCTACTACCTGGTGGCAAAAAATGACCTCTTTGTCGAAACACATTGATTAGGAGGAATTAGTTGAATAATTTGCATATTTAATATAATCAGAAAACATTTGTAATACATGATACCGTAATTATCGGTGTTTTAACATTGGTAATATAGAATTATCGGTGTCTTATTTATACTTGATATATGCTAGCTATAAATACTTTTTCACTCACGAAAATTGTATTACTTTATATATATTATATTAGGATCATCCCAATGACAATTTTAAAATATGAAAAGAAAAGTGTTGTAGTGTATTTAAAGATAGGCTCTCTATTTTTTTTCTTTAATATATAACTATAAAAATAACATATTAATGAGAGTCCTCCATGGTCACATGTTCATCAGCAGTTGTAATGAGGGTGTGGGTGGGGGTGTGTGTGTGTGTGTAAGTGTTGTCCATTTATTGTAATAGCTATATATTTCTGCAGCCCTACGTGCACAGGCTTTTGGCACATGATGCGGTCCCAGCAAAGAACATTCGTCGCGTTGATCACCGGCGTGGAGTTGCATCGTACACGCGCCGATGCAGCGTACTCCAGCCTTTAAAAAAATATGACGCACTAACTATTAGGAAAAAATGTCATAATGCTTACTCATAATACACCATGTAATTTTATCTTTCAGTCTTGGAATGAAACATGACAGTGAAGATAACAGATGTCACGACAAAGGCCACATAATGTCATCACGTCCTGTCTCAGGTCAAGGTTCATTCACATGGTCATTGTGTAGCACGCAGTACTTGCAGCACTTCTTAAAGTTAGTTGATACTGGTAGTCTTATATATCTCGACGACTTAAAATTTGCTTCTCATTTATATATTGTTATGCTTATATACTGTATGTAGGCCTACTGTTCACTATTATTTTTTAGTTCCCCGATCACTTTTATTATTATTTATTTATTTATATATATACATATCGCCTGCTTTCATAAATTGTTGCTTATACATTAATATCTTTTTTTTTATCCATCTATGGATTATAATTTTTCTAAGCCTGTCTTATCTATTAGGCCTATGTTGTTATTTATCGTATTTATTTAAATATAAATATACATATATAAGCATATATATATATATATATAGATAGATAGATAGATATACATATATATAATATATAGAGGCATATATATATAAAATATATAGGCCTACATAATATAATATCTGTCTCTTATACACATCTAGATGTGTATAAGACACAGGTTTATTATAGTTTTACGTACATCAATTACATATAATACGTTTGTGAATATTTCATTGTTATATAGTTCTTCAAAATCATCCTGCTTACAAAAGAGTCCATCAACAGTCTACATGAACGGCAGAAGTAATGATAAACCAGGCCAAGTCTACGACGCTAATAGCCAATGCAAGCTAGCGTTTAATGATAGTCTCAATGAATGCCCCGGTAAATTGGTAAGGAATCATTTGTCATAACAAAAACAAATGAGTATAAAAAATATCATCATTATCACCATTTGCATCATCATTTTCATCATCATCATTATCAACATCATCATCGCCATAGTATTTATTTAATGTGTGAATGTTAGGGGTTCTTTTTCATCATTGTTTGTTTAAATTCATTCATTTGTTTTTGACTGTTTATTAATTAACTAATCAAACTACAAAATGTTGTGTAGTTATTAATAATAATTACATATTCTTTTGGTTTTATTTTCTTTTTTGTTTCCCTTACTTCTTTTTCTTCTACCTACACCAATATTTATAGACGAGGTGTAAACAATTGTATCCAGTTAGTATATTAACCGGTAGAGCAATGCTTGATAATGACGTGTGATAAATATATATAGGATGGTAAATTTCTTCAAAATAAACCAGGTATTAACTGTGTTTAACCATGGAGGTTGCATCTCGCTCTAACTTCGGATTACGTCTAAAGCTTATTTCCATACAATTGCTACGGCAGCTTTCAGTGATGGTGATTGGTCGGTCGAATCTGAGAGCCTTCCCGATTGCGTCGGGGACTGCTCGCAGTACAACGATTGCACTGAAAACAATGTAGCGACAGAGTAGGGAGCTTTCGATTTGTGCGACGACGCGACCCTAGAACGGAATCACTCATGCGTGAACGTCCTACCTGGCGTCCTGCGTTTTCTGCGTACGTAGATTTGGCCAAATTGCGTTCCACAATCTACTCTACGTTCTCGCATGCGCAGATGACTTTTAGTGACGTTATTACGTTCTACGTCCTCCAGAATCTGCTCGACGAGGTGACCTTAACGTTCTCGCATGCGCAGATGACTTTTAGTGACGTCATTACGTTCTACGTCGTACCGTCGTCGTGCAATCGAAAGCTCCTTAATATAAGCTATGTGAACATGATTTTAACTTTCTGTCGATTGTTTACAGGCCGAGTGTAAGATGCTGTGGTGCTTACGACCACTGTTCAGTGATGGTAAGGCTCGGTTACGATGTACCTCAAATCTCATACCAAAGATGGACGGCACAAATTGTGGTGAAGGAAAGGTAATCTATGCAACAATGCACATGTCAATAATTAAAACAGTAGCCATTCAGGGTAATGGATATTGTGAGTAGCAACATTAGTCGGATAATAATCGTTCAACAAGTATCAGGTCCGAGACAAGTAGAGTACCGTAGTATACCCACATAAAAATGCATAATACACAACCCACTTCACCCTAAGATGTCAAATGTGTCTTTATTCTTAGTCTTCTTCCCATTTTACAGGGACTTTATTTCAAACTCCGGCTCTTTGGAAATAAAATATACATTAAAATAATGTATTGACGTGACAATGATAAGAATAAAACATGAAATATAGATTTTAAGTTTCATTCGTTTCCTTTTTAATTCCTTTTCTGAGTTTGAAAGCATGATGAATAAATAAACGTAATTTAGAAGACTAAGTAGATCAAATTTAGCAACGCTTGGGAAAGTATTGTAATAAGCAGGTAAATAGGGCCTACTTCTTTTCTATAAAGCTTACAGAACATAAGAAAATGTACCGGTACCTCATCTTCCACACTCCCATCTACAGATACAACATCTATCATTAAATTTTTACGTCTAATTTTACTTGTAAGTTACAATTTCCAATACGGAAAGAAGATAACAAAAATTTATAATAAGGTTAATTATTTAATGATTGTGATTCTATGCTAAAAGAAGGCTTAAATCTGGCATATTTTTTCTTTATTCAGGATTCTTGAATATCGGATTTATGGATTTTCATACATCAAATGATTTATGGATCATTAAGTAATAATAATAACAAACGCTTGCAGTACACCACGAAATAGTTCTGAAAAGAATTGTTGATTTTGTTTAGAGGGAGTCTCGCTCGACGTTTCGATTGAGTTGCTTCAATCGTCATCGAGAGAATAGTCCAGCAAACTTTGGTTGGTTGCATTTTTCTTTTTGGCTATATTTTTTTAAAATTGGATATGATGTAGAGTAGACATAGATAAATAAAAAAAAAGTATGTGCAACATTTTTTTTTCATACGTAAGGGGGGTTGCCAGCCATTTCAAAAT